ATTTTTGTTTTAGCATTCCCAAGTGTACATAAATATATTGTTGGGAAACCTTTCGTGTAATCATGCAACCTGAAGTTATATATCGTACATTGATATAATCATATTCTATTTGCATCTTATAATAAAATTATTATTTGATAAATTCAAAATTATATGAGAAACTTATTTATCCATTGAATATTATTTTCACGTCATCTAACAATAATATATTGTTTTTCCACCCTGAAAAATTACTATAAATTTAGTTGATTATATATAAATATTTTTCAACCTTGAAGCAACTAATTAATTTAAATATTTGTTCACAATGGAGTCGAGAGTAATGATCCGCATGTTGTTTGCTCATGGAACTAAGACATAAAAATCCAAAGTCATTTGGGTATTTTTTAATATAAAGTTTGAATAAATAAATAAATAAATGAAATATTATTGTTTTAATTAAAATAATATAAAAATAAACATGAATCAATTAAACTATTAATATCTTTTGCTAATTGTCAAACCAAAATTTCAAATTAAAAGGACATGCAAATAAAAATTTAAACCCATAAATTAAAAAATATATATATATGATTAATCGTAATTAATTAACAGTAAACGTCCATCGCATGACATATTATTCTCCAATTAGTAGGTAACAATTTGGATTTGATTCCTTCCATTGTTGGACTTTAATGGGCATTGACCAATAAGAATATGTCAATGACTAATTTGTTTGTTTTAATTGAAAAAATCAATTTATAGAACCTTTCTAGAATATTTAATATAAAGGTAAATTATAAGGTAAGTTTTTGGACTTGTATCAGAATTAACTGCATTTTTATTATAATTCTAATAATATATTAATAATCTAAATTATTAATTTACTTTATTACTATTAATTTATAATATAACCTATGTTACAAAAATTTTAACTATTAATTAAGTAATACAAGAAGTAACTACATAAGAGCACAACTTATGGTTCAAGTTTAAGCACTTAATTAAGCAGAAGCCAACTAACAAAACACCCTGTTTACTCACTTCACACTCCCACAAACACGTAACATTGCAATGATTATTTTGCTATTAATGCTTTTTGTTAGCTGTACATACAAATAAAAAATCATAAATACACATATTTGTTATTGAAATTACAGTTTTGCCCTTCTTATCATTTGTTTTTTATTACCGTTTAATTCTTGTATTTGTTTTGCGTCTAAAAATCAAATTCACACAAACCCAATGCGACGTCGTTTTGGGAAATTAAGTAAATCTTTTTTTAAAAAAAAAAAAAAAGTGTGAATAAATAATTTATTAATGTGTAAATGCAGGATATTTAAAAAGAAGGAAAAAAAAAAAAAAAAAAAAGTCGAGACACCCATGTCGCCAATTTAACAATATTTTTTATTGTCTTATTTAAAAATAAATAAATTTAGTGTGGGCTCCACCACCGCAGTGACAAGCTGGCTTAAGTTTATTCAGAGAAACAAAGAATCGATAAAAATAAAAAAGATAAATTTGGAAGAGCACCGCCCTATTCCCATGTGAGCTAAGATAAGACCCAAGAGGAGCCAATTTCAGCGGGTCACCGGGAATTCCCTGTTTTTTTTTTTTTTTTCCCAATTATGGTCTTCGTTTGTTGTTTCCCTCAAACTAGACTTAGTCCAAACCTGTTCTTCCGGTGGACGGTAACAGATAGACTAAATCAAAATTTCCTTTACCAATTAGGAAAATTTAATTAGCAAACACGCCACCTGGATCTTCTCTTCCCCCCAATAGCCATTGACACCCATGTTCTCCTTACTGTCAAAATAAGTTAATAAATTAAAAAATTAAAATTTCATAAACTGAAAAAAGTGTATAAATTTTATTTCTAAAAAATCACTAATTTTTTAAATGATATTTAATATTTCAAAAACATTATAGGAATATGTTGTAAAATAACGGGTGGGTGGATCGCACTAATACTAATTCTTACTCCGGTTCTTAAACCTTCAACACAGTTAGATTAGTGTTAATATGACTGCGAATAAGTTAATCCTCCCCATCTTCCAACAGATGACACCCGAGCATTTACCAATTCAAAGAAAGAAATTTTCTTTCATCTAAACATGAAAAAGGAAAAAAACAAAGCATAAAAATCTGTACTTTTTTACCATTTAATTCGTTCTCCAATCTAAAAATGGAAAACAAATAGTGTTTACCAAAACAAGAATTTACATACTATATCTATATTTACTCTTACCTGTATTTTCTATATTTTAGTTTATTTTTCTTCATTCTCTCTCCTCTAATCTGGCCGTCCTTTAACGCGTTCACGCGTATACTTGTCGCCTTTTTGTGGGTGACCACTATATATAACCAGGCCTTGCCTTCGCTTCGATTAGCAGGTGCAGAAAAATTAAAAAGGCAGCCTCTAATTTTCTCTGCATCTGTGTAATTTTTTATCCAAAAATCTATTTCTGATTTTTCTATTTTTAATCGAACCCAATTCCTCGATTTCTATTATTCCTTCGATTTGTGACCGAATCCTACCAGTATTCAATAGAAATATTGTGGGAAGGATTGGGAATAAGAAGAAGATGCCTTCGTTGGAAGAGGAGCTGTTTCCTTCAACGCCTGGTAAGTTTAAGATAGATCGAGCGCATACGATGAATCGCCAAGTGCATAGGTGTTTCGCCTCCACGAGTACAATGTTCTTGTGGGCTTTGTTCTTGATTGCTCTTACGGCGTCGTATCTTAGTTTTCAGAGCTTCGTTGATTCCGGAAGTCGGTACTTCACGGCGTCGTGGGGCGGAATCCAGTGGGAGAAGCAGGTACGGAACTCGGCCCAGATCCAGAGGTCCGGCGGGAAGGTTGTGTTGGTTACTGGCGCTGCCGGTTTTGTGGGGACCCACGTGTCGATGGCGCTGAAGAAACGAGGAGACGGCGTAGTTGGGCTTGACAACTTCAATAACTACTATGACCCGTCGTTGAAGAGGGCGCGGAGGGCGCTTTTGAACGATCATGGAATCATGGTGGTGGAAGGTGATTTGAACGACGCCAAGCTGCTCGCTAAGCTTTTCGACGTGGTGGCTTTCACCCACGTGATGCACCTTGCGGCACAAGCCGGCGTGAGGTACGCCATGGAGAACCCACTTTCGTATGTGCACAGCAACATCGCCGGCCTCGTCACGCTGCTCGAGGTCTGTAAATCGGCGAATCCTCAGCCATCAATCGTCTGGGCCTCGTCGAGCTCGGTTTACGGACTTAACGAGAAAGTTCCCTTCTCAGAAGCCGATCGGACGGACCAGCCGGCTAGTCTCTACGCGGCTACCAAGAAGGCTGGTGAGGAAATCACGCACACTTACAATCACATCTACGGCCTATCCATTACCGGGTTAAGATTCTTCACCGTGTACGGTCCATGGGGCAGACCCGACATGGCTTACTTCTCCTTCACCAGGAATATCCTGCAAGGCAAACCTATTACGATTTATCGGGGCAAGGATCGGGTCGATTTGGCCCGGGATTTCACATATATTGATGACATCGTCAAAGGTTGCTTGGGGTCGTTGGATACTTCAGGCAAGAGCACGGGTTCGGGGGGGAAGAAACGGGGCCCGGCACCGTATAGAATATTCAACCTGGGCAACACGTCGCCGGTGACTGTCCCGAACCTGGTGGATATTCTTGAGAAGCACTTGAAGGTGAAAGCGAAGAAGAACTTCGTGGACATGCCAGGAAACGGCGACGTTCCGTTCACCCACGCAAACATTAGCTATGCCCAAAGGGAATACGGGTATAAACCGACAACCGATTTGCAAACCGGGTTGAAGAAATTTGTTAGGTGGTATCTTTCTTATTACGGCTATAATCGCGGAAAATCTGTAAATTGATTAAACAAATCATTTTTTATTTTTATTTAATTTTCCCTTTTTTTTTTTGGGTTCTTTTTTCTAGAGTTTCCATTTTCCCAAAAAAAAATGAAAAATGGGAAAAAGAAAAAACTGGTCAGGATAAAAAAAAAAAAAAAGAGAACACATTCTTTTCTTGGAAAAGCCAGCACATAATTTTGTGATTTATCGCATTTTTCTCCAAAGTAATTATAGAAAAAAAGATTTCCTTTCTCCACTTATATATTTATTTACTAAATTATATTTAAATATAAAATAGGAGACAAGTATTTTTAAATAGGAACGGGGGCAAATGACAGCTGGAGCAACGGTCGGGGCCCACTTTTGTCTTTTATCTTTAGAAAAATGATACGGCTGTCGTTGGAATCCGTTCAGTCGTTCGATCCAGCTGTAAAGCCTGCAGTCGTCACAGTCGCACAGGATTTTTCCTCTGCCGACAAGCTACCGGGTTGGCTTCGGTCATTTAGCCCTGGGCCTTTCTTTTATAAGCCCATCTACTCATTATACACTGCCCTTTTGACCTTTTTTTTTTTTTTTTTTTTGAAAAAACAAATACAAAAAATATAATGTGAATAGTTGAACGTAATATCAAATTCTGAATATAAAGAAATGTGATAATTGAAAGAAGAAAAGAAAAGAAAAAGAAAAAGAACACCGACAAAGTGGTGGGGCCCTTTGCAGATTGATTGGTGAAACATGTGGATAGTCCAAATGAGTTTTGTGTTTGGAACATAATAATTTCCTACTTGGAACCCACTGTTGGAATTACGCAAATACTAACAACTTTTGAGGGGTAAAAGCCAATATTTCCTCCACCGACAGAAATTATGGATATTTTTATTTTAATTATAAAAGCATTAATACTTTAATTAATAATCGATGTAATTAATGGAGGATTACATATTAAATTAATCCATTCATAACTAAAACGTTACAAAAAATATATATATATATATATAATTAACCTCCGAAATTTTTTAAAGAATTATTACGCATAAACCATTCTGAGAATTTCTTTGTTCTCTCGATATGACAAAACTAAATTGTTTCATTATTTTTTTGACAATTTTTATCGTTGTAGGACTTCTTTTTATACCGACACTCTCACAAGATACTAATCTATCACCTATAAATTCACATGACTGGATAGAAGACATACATGATTTTGAAGATGCCAGCCCGTCACCTGAATACGAATCCGATGTTAAATTTGTACCTCATATAAATGAGGAGGAATTCTTCCAAAATTGTCTCCAAAAAATTAACGGGAGATGCAGTATAAATATATTCGAATATTTATTTTCTCACAAAAATCAAGCAAACATCGATCGAAATTGTTGTATGAAAATAATAGATTCCGGAATAAATTGTCACCATACTTTAGTGAGAGTTATTTTATCGACGCAACAATTGCAGGTATATACAACTGTAGGTCGCCAAAAGAGTAGGCAAGTCTGGAACTATTGTATATTAAATTATGGGAAGGAAGCACATGCTCCAATCTCTCTTGACAAATGATTTATAATTTTCCCTATATATGTCCAATTTTCTGGACTATTAATAATAATTTTATTTTGAATCATATAATAAAGTTAAGAGCCTTTAGCATGATATATATTACATTACACAATGTTATAAGGTATGTTCGTGAATTTAAATATTATTATTAATCATGTTAAATTATATAAATTCACAACAACAAAAAAACTAAAAATTAACACTCAATGTAGCGAGCTGTGTATTATATTTTACAGATATTTATTGATATAAAACTCGACTGAATCAGATTGAATATAAAATATAAATTTTCTAAACACCAGAAACTATATTTAAATTTATTTAGATCAGTTGAAATTAAATTTTGTATATTTTTTGTTACACGATATTATTAATTAAAAATAATTAATGAAACCTAATAAAAATTGAAGTAAATAACAAATCTCATAGATAGTAATCATTCATCTAATATATAATTTATGAAACTAATAAAACAAATAATAATTTAATAATATACATATATATATATATCTAAAAATTAAAATCTCGGTCTGTTTTATCTGGCAGGAATCAAATTAAAATTTTAAGTTTTCTAATTTTAAATGGAGAAAAATCATTTTTCCAGTACTTACGTGATATCAAATAAATTTTATTTTTTGGATCATACATACATATAATATAAATTAAATTATATAAAATTATAAAACTAATAGAAAATATGTAACGACTCCGGAAATTAATAAAGGAAATATATAAAAAGAATATAAGTGCGGAAGTGAAATAAAAGGTCCTGATTAATATCCCTTACACAATAACTTAAACATACTAACAATACCGAAAATAAGTCCTCTAAAGGAAAATACTGGAAATGAAAGACTATAAAAGAACTAATAAACATCTAGGTATCTACTCACCGTCTTCTTGTAGATCGAGCTCGGGAACCAAGTCATCCTGATCTAAAATAGTTAAGTAAGGAATGAGGTACACTAGCTCAGTAAAGACATAACACTATATCACTGTCACAGAAGTAAAGATTGGTAGAAAACCAAAAACAACCAATGGAGCGCAAGTTTCAAGTAAATTTATTTATCAATAATCAAACCATTTACCGTCCACTTACCTCAGTGGAATTTATAAAAACGACTCATGGAAACAGTAACATCATAAATATCATGAATTCATACATAATCTGTATCATAGTACATGTCATACTTTCATATTTCAATCATCAAAGAATAGTTACCCCATTTTTATCAACCTACCAGTATCCATGGGGATCCATAGGGGTCCCCGCTACACGTGAACAATTTCTTTAACAAACTTAATTTTCAGGGCCGTTCTCATACCTTGTAGCGCCCGGAAAGGGGCCGAAAAAAAAAGAAGCCACGTCAGCAGGCCCGGTTAGCAGTCCCGGCCAACCGGGACCTGCCACGTGGCAAGACCATGTCATTTTGGAACGGGCCACGTTGGCGATCCGCGCAGGCGCGATCGGACGGCCCAGATTAAAACAAAATGGACGGCTGAGATCAAAAGGCAAAGGGTTATAAATAGAACCCCCACACCAGACCACAAACCCTAGCCGCCTGCCGCTCGCTGGAGAAGACGAACCAGAAGCCGGCCGCCGCCACCCGCCGCCGCACAGGGGAAATTTCTGACCGCCGATCGAGGTAAATTTCGTACCCCCCGACTCGTTTTTCCACGCTGATTCCTCCTGTGGCCAAATCGAAGCCAAAATCCCGGCCAAACGGCCGGAATACACGGCCGAAGCCCAGCGGCACCGCCGCGCCCCTTCTCGGTTTTTGCCTCCGATGAGGCCCTTCCCGGCCTCCGTTTGATGCAATTTTTATATTACCGTGATCACCATTCTTTTCTCTACAGGTTGACCAGAGCCGAATCACCAAAACACGAACCTCGCCGGAGAGCCGCCGCACCCGAGAGCGCCGCCGCCGGTAAGCTCCGTTTTTCCGTGATTTTTGGCCCCCCGAGGGCCCTAGGGTTGTTTTCTCGCAGGGACCGATGCGAGTGTGGCCGAATTCAGTCGGAAACGGCCGAAAAAGCCAACCCGAGGCGAATCGCCACCGCCAGCGGCGGTGCCGTCGCCGGAGCACAGCGGAGCCGCCGTGCCGGAGTTGCGATATTGGCCGAAAGGGGCCCTGGGCCTAATTTGGGATTTTTTGGAACACGTGCAGGTACCAGTAGTGCGTTTCAGTTCCCCGAGAAAAATTCAGGAAAAATTAGGGACAGCCTGTAGGCGCACTGTGAAGCCGTGTTCGGACCCCGAAACGTGTAAGGACCCCTCACCCTATTTCCTATCATGGTTTTAAAGTTCAATAAATGATAAAACGGTATTTCATGAATCAACGAATGTGTGAAATTGCTTAAGGTCGCTAATGGAGCCCGAGTCTAGTGTGTTTTGTCGGTTAACTGTTATTTGGCCTGTTTTACAGTTTTAAATGCAGCATGAGGTTCGATATTTTCATTTTATAGTTTCGTGTGCATATTTTACTGTTTTATTGATTATGGATTGAATGACCGGGATATTGATGCTGTATGTTGTCTGTTTGGCATAAATTATTGTTTTGCTTGTTTGTATGTGATTGATAATGCTGACTGAGGGAAAAGGAGAATGAAAGATTATGTAAATGGAAATTGTATAATGTGTTCAGCCTGACTAGATATCCTGGGAGATGGTGGACGGACCAGGTCCGTAGGGAACCCTACCGGGATTGTGGTCTCTCATACCGGACGGAGTATGGAGATCTTATGTGTTTTGGCGCCCATACCGGACGGGGTATGGGGACGGCCCGTTTCACCCTCATACCGGACAGGGTATTGAGGCTTATGGTTTTGGCGCCCAAACCGGACGGGATATGGGGACGGCTCGTTTCACCCTCATACCGGACGGGGTATTGAGGTTTATGGTTTTGGCGCCCATACCGGACGGGGTATGGGGACGGCCCGTTTCACCCTCATACCGGACGGGGTATTGAGGTTTATGGTTTTGGCGCCCATACCGGACAGGGTATGGGGACGGCCCTGGAATCTGATGACGAATGTTAAAGGTTAACGGGTAGCGGGACCCCTATGGACTCCCACGGATACTAGTAGGCTGGTAAATGAGGAAAAGATATGTTGTATAATGATTGAATTACAAAAGGCGTGATAAGTGTTATGTTTTACAGTTTATATGATTCCATGATTATGATAATGTTATTGCTTTCGTATATTGTTTTATAAATTCCACCGAGGTAAGTGGATGGTAAAAGTTTTATTATTAATAAAAGAATTTGTCGTAAATCATGCTCCATTGGTCTTTTGTGTTTTCTACCCACCTTTACCTCCGTGACGGTGAGATATCGTGATGTCCTTACTGGGCTAGTGTAGCTCATTCCTTATTTAATCATTTCAGATCAGGAAGACATGGTTCCCGAGCCCGTTCTGCAGGAGGACGACGAAGGGGATGCCTAGAGACTCCATAGTCATACTCATAGCTTTACTTTCGAGTTTCTTTTTTTTGTTAGTTTAATCTTTTATATTTTGAGCACGTTTTTAGTTTTCGTGTAAAGGATGTTAACTGAAATTTTGATCTCGCTTCCGCATTTGATATTTTTGAATATAAATTCCATTTTAAATTTCTGGGGCTGCTACAGTTGGTATCATAGCCGCATTTCCTCGG